GCAGCAGCAGCAGCGGGCTCTGAGCGCCGCTGCTGGCTGGGGCTGGCGGCCGGCAGCAGCAGCGCGCAGCAAAATGCCAAAAAGAAATAAATGCAAAGAAGTTGGGCCGCTGAAAAAGCCCATTTGAAGGAGAACCTGAGGTGTACAGACACCGCAGCGGGCGAGATCGCAGTGTCGAGACTCCCGGCGCTCGCGAGGGCAGGGGGGAAGCAGCTGCTGCTGCTGCTGCAGCAGCAAGCGGGCTTCTCGCGGCTCTTGTCACTTAAACAACCTTTTTTGAATATTGTTTTGGATTTTTTTTCAATTTAATTGCAGCTTTTTTGCGAAAGGCCGGGCGCGAAGGGCCGCAGCGCGCCCCGCCGCTGGCGCCGCAGGACCGCGCGGCTGTCGGCAGCAGCAACGAGTTCCTGCTGCTGCTGCAGCAGCAGCAAACATTGAATTGCTGCAGTTCTTTTGCTTCGCAAGTTGAGGAGATAAAAGAAAAGAAAGAAGTGCCGCGCAGCGGACACGGCCAAACGCCCCGCGCCTCCACTTCTGCTGTCTAGCCACGCCACGGGGAAGGCCCTCCAAAAGAACTCTTCTTAAAACAATTCAAAATTCCTTATTTCAATTTCTCGCTGTATTGCTGCTTCGCAGCAGCAGCAGCAGGCCAGCGGCTGAGACGGGAGCCGCGAGGCGGCCCCGCGCTGCCTCTGGACTTCAAGGAAAGTTCACCTTCAAGAGTTCACCACTCTGCAGCCTTACTATTTCAAGTTCAAAATGCAAAATAAAAAGACCGAGAGCTCAACAGATTTGGTTCTAAATAGATCTGCCTAGATGCAGCGCGAGTCGCTGCTGTCGAGTGTATCTACCAACGGTGGGGGAGCAGCAGCTGCTGCAGTTCACAAAAACGCATGGAAACCTTTTCCACTAATTGATATTAAAACCCTTTATTTGTGTTTTAATCGCTAAATAATGCGGGATCTGAGCGTATCAGCAGCAACTGAAGTTCTGCTGCTTGCAGCTTTGCTCCACCATTTCCCCCAGCCGAATCATTTCATTGCCATTTTGGAAATCTTTCTTAGAATTGAAGAATGCATAAAGGAGGCATGTTAGGTGTCAGCATTTCAAAAATAAAACGTAATAGCGAAGGGATTTTAAGTGAATAATGACTTTTAGTTTGGTGCTGAAAATTCAAGATTCAAGTTGAACTTGAGCGCCGGGTGTATCGTCAGCTCTGCATGACTGCAGTTGGCGCATCGAGATCCGCGAGGGTCCCACTTTAGGACTGGGAAAATATTCTTTTTTTGCATTTTAAATATCAAAATGTTTTTATTTTGCAGATTAATGGTGGCAAGCAGCTTTCTCTGTCTCGTGGGTTTCGCCCACTCGTTGCAGCCATACCGTTTCGCTCAGAGCCGCGCGAAACTGGACCGAGACAAAGTAGGACTTTTCTGAAGATTAAAATTGAACTCGAAAAGGAATTTTATTTCTTAGACTCCCCCGCCATATCCCATCATCAACGTGCACTTGGGTAGGCCGCCAGGCACAGCGTCTTAGCCGAAATTGCAGAAACTGTTTGGCCGCTCGCCAGATGAGGCGAAACTGCCTGACGGAGTTGAAAGCGATATGGCCGTGTTTCTGCACCAAGAGAGGAGTCGGCAGCGGGAACTTGAAAACGCCATTCACCGAAAACGCGGGTTCTTTCAAGCCAAGATGGGCGAAGTGAGAAAGCCACTAGTGATTATAGTTCAGCTTTTGCTTTTCTGGACAGCCAAGGCTCTTTTAAAATCAAAAAATCTGAATTTGTGGCGCAGCAGCAGCAGCAAGTCGAGTTCATCACCGACTTGGAGCAAACACTCGCGGAGCCGCCAGCATCGGAACTTGAATAGCCAGTAGGGCCCCCACTTTCCACTGAATTAAAGAGTGCTGCTCCGGCTACGACATTTCTAGACTTTTAGTATTTAATTAAAACTGCTTTTAGGACTTTTAATTTGGAAATTTGGGCGAAAAGAAACAAGTGGCTCCTCTGCACTGGCGGTCTCGGGCACGGCCAACAGTGCAACTTGAATTTCGGCGCAGCCGTGAGCAGCTGCGGCCAGAACTTGCGGCTTTTTTTCTTTTTTGGGTTTTTTCACAAAATAAATCATTTTTGCATTTTTAGGACTTGAACAAATATAGTTAAGGCTCGTTTCGGAGTCTGCTTTCTCGAAGTCTGCACTCGGCAGCCCCTGCACTCGCGGCGGCAGCGGGCGCCTCCCGGGAGAAAGGCGGAAAAAAAGCGGAAATATTTCAAAAATGGAATTTAAAAAAAAAGTCTTTGGGAAACTCGGAAAATAAATAGTTCACTCGTGCTGCTGCCGAGGCTCCTCTCGGCTGCTGGCCGCCGCACCTGCACACGGCGCCGCATGCGTCTCCCCAGGCAGCCCGTCCGGCCTCTCTTTGATCAAAAAAAGATTTAACTTCTCTTTTTTCGTTTGATTTCAAGAAAGAAAGCAGGTTTCGACTTGTGGAGAAGAGGCGAAGTTTCAGGTCACTTGCCTCGGTCGGGCCGATAGCCGCGTGCAACTGCTACTCTGAGGGCCGAGTTCTCTCGCCTCGCCTTCTTCTTCCCAGCTTTCCAATTTGAATTTCAAATCTGGTATAAAACTGGTTTTAAAAGAGTTATTTAAAGCTGAAAAGACCCGCGCCGAGACACCCAACGCCGCGTTTCGTTCAGCTTTCCGGCCAGGGTCACCTCCCCGGCGGCGGGTCTTCCGGTATCGACAGCAGCAGCAAAGTTCCATTTTCGGGGCCAACTTGCTGCAGCAAGAGGTCTTTTTCTTTTTGCGACTGAGTTCGCTGGCCAGCGCAGGCGCGGGTCTCGCACTTGCAGCAAAAGTGTTCTGTGTTTCCGGCCCACGGGCAGCAACCCGCAGGTGGGTTTGCCAAATGGCTCACCCGAGAAAGCAGTAGCAGCAGTAGCCACTGCCTGAGGCCTCCGTACCCTTTTTTCTGGTATTAACCGCCTCTGCGCCTCAACAAAGGTCAGCAGCAAAACCAGCAGCAGCAGCAGCAGCAGCAGCAGCAGCAGCAGCAGCAAAACATTCGCCTCCCCGACAGCTCCGGCGGCGGCTGAGCAGCAGCTCCTTTCCAGTGTACGTACACCGGAGAAGGCCACTAACAGGCAGGTTCTGCTAGCGAATGCAGCAGCAGGTTTCTGGAGAGGGGGCCCCCGGGGGGGCCCCCGAGGTGGCCCCCGCATTCCCGCAGGAAGCCCAGGCAGCAGACGCAAGAGGGGGTTCAGAAGACTCTCCAGAGCAGCAGCAGCAGCAGCAGCAGCAGCAGCAGGAGTTTCCTGAGGGGCCTCTGCCCACGGTGGTGCCTCCCCACCACGTCTCTGCGGAAGACAGGTCTCACGACAGCACGGGGTTTTCTCCTGCTGCTGCAACAGAATCTCCAGCAGCAGAAGCAGCAGCAGCCAAAAATAAAGCAGCAGCAACACAGGCTGCCCCCGCCACAGGCTTCAAGGGGGCCCTCAGGCACTTCGGGGCCCACTACAAAGCAGGAGCAGAAGAGCAGCAGGAGGGGCCCCCAGATGCAGCAGCAGCAGCAGCAAGCGACAACCCTTTCGGGGTGACTCCTGAGCAGCTCGTAGGTGAGCTACCAAGCGCCTTTTGCTTCCAGTAAAGAAGCACTAGATGCAGCAGCAGCAGGTGCTGCTGCAGCGGAAATAGCGCCCGCAGCAGCAGCAGCAGCAGCAGCTGCTGCTGCTGCTGCTGCTGCAGCTGCTTCCATCCCACTTGCTGCGTTGTCTGCTGCTTCGTCTGCTGCTGCCCCTGCCTTCTTGTTTCGTCGCTGGCCCCTTTCCCTCCCTACTACCCTTCAACTGACCTTGCTGCTGCTGCTGCTGCTGCTGCTGTTGCTGCTGCTGCTGCTGCGGTCCGCCAGAACTGGTGAGCCTCTACGTCGCCCGCACGAAGCACGAAGATCTGGTGGCGCTGCAGCAGCTGGGGGGCACTGCAGGAATAGCCCGGGCGCTGCACACGGACTTGCGGCTGGGGCTGCCGTGCCCTTCGAGGGGCCCCGAGGGGGGCCCCCAGGGGGGCCCCCCGGGGGCCCCCCAGGGGGGCCCCGCGGGGGAGGGGCCTCCGGGGGCCCCCCGGGGAGAGTCCGGAGCCAACGGGGCACGCGGGAGTGTCTCAGAGGAGCAGCAGCAGCAGCAGCAGCAGCAG